AGATCCACATTTGTAGCAGAAAAAATATAGGGAGATTAGGAAGCAAAACACCAGCCCAGACAAATAGCAGAGAAGAGGACTTAAAATCAACCCTTAGGACTCTTGCTGTAGACAAGATGGAGTGAGCCCACTGATGCCTAGCTCTCCAAGCTTACTATGAAAATTTCTGGACAAAATAAATAAGCAATAACATGAGGGGTCTAAAAAGTAAACAAAAGTAGGTAAACTGGGGAGGGAAACAAAACTTGAAGCAGTTGGGGTGGAGGATGGATGTGAGTTTCTCAGGGTTTTTCCCCTCTTTTCTCTTGGGGTCAGGGCAGGCCCTTAGCAGAGCTGTGGTTGTGACTCCACAGGCAGTTAAAACTCCAAGAGAAATCCCACCTCCTTGGTCAGAAGACTAGGAAAGAGAGCGCCTGAGACCTGGAGATCAGGTGAAACTCACAACTTAAGGGCAGCTCCACTGAGGACCAGCAAGAGGTGTAGCCAGGAAGGGAGCCCTTCGGGAACAAAAAGTGCCAAAGAATCCCTTTTTTTCTCTTCCTCCTCTGCCCATGGGCAGCCCCAGTAACAACCATACACTGGGCAGTTAAAACTTTCAGAAAAACCTGCTACTTGTGGACAGAGAACCAAAAAAGTGTTCCATGTGGGCAAGAGAGAAGAGAGCTAGAGAAGGGGATTCCTTCAAATTTGAGTAACAAACGACACAAATCCTAGGTTCACCCTAAGCTATTTACATACAGCAAACATCAAATAGACACAGCACAGCAAAGACACTGAGAAGTGAGCAATTAAACCACCACTCCAGTCCCACATGCAAAGGTTTTAAAAGCTAAGCTGACACTGAAATCCTTGCCCATGGATGGCAAGACTGACTTCAGGGTTGATTGCCTACTGAAATTAAAAAAAAGTAACATTAACCAGAGGCTTTAAACAGGACCTAGAGTCCAAACAATGTAATATTCAAAATGCCCAGGACACAATCTAAAATTACCGCAACCAGGAAAATATGACTCATTCTCAAGGGAAGACAATCAACAGAGGCCAAGTGCATGATAACCCAGATGTCAGAATTATCAAAGACTTTAGCTATTAAAACAACATTGGGCAAAAGTAAACATTCCTGAAATGAAAGGAATAATAGAAATTCTCAAGAAAGAGACAAAAGCTATTTTTAAAAACCCTGAAATTTTAGAACTAACAAATATCTGAAATAAAAAATTCACTGATGGGTTTAATAACAGAATGGAGATGACAGAAAAATCTGTGAATTTATAGAAAGATCAATAGAAATTATCCCATTTGTGGACTAATGGGTACAAAACTATGCTACCCTAAGTGAATCATTGTATAGCATGTGCATTTATTGAAACAACACAATATACCCCACAAATATGTACAAGTAAATGTCAAAATATTCTGAATAAAAAAAAAAATTTAGGGCCAGCCCGGTGGTGCACTCGGTAGAGTGCGGCGCTTGGGAGCGAGGCGGCACTCTCGCCGAGGGTTCGGATCCCATATAGAGACTGGTCCGCTCACTGGTTGAGCGCGGTGCGGGCTCGACACCGAGGGTTGCGATCCCGTTGCCGGTCGCAGTACGGGCGTGACACTGAGGGTTGCGATCCCGTTACCAGTCACGAAAAAAGAAAAAAAAGAAAAAAAAAATTATCCCATTTGAACAACAAAGCAAAAAGAAGGAACAGAGTCTTGGACACTTNGGATCGCAACCCTCAGTGTCGCGCCCACACCTCGCTCAGCCAGTGAGCAGGAACCGGTCTGCACGTGGGATCCGAACCCCTGGCAGAGCGCCGCCGCGCTCCCAAGCAACGCACTGTAGCAGTGCGCCACCGGACTGGCCCCTCACGTAAACTCTTGATCTATGATGTTTTTAACTTTTACAAGCTGAACTCATTCAACAAAGTCACTGAGAAAAGTAACTGAGCACTAAAGCTGACAGAATATTATCAAGCTACTTTTGCCTGAAGCAAACACAATTGTCAAATGATTTTACTGACCAACTTTATAAAAGCACTCTAATTTGCGAAATATCTTTCATCCAATTTAGACTGAATGCTGGGAGCAGGTGATGGGATAGGTCATACAAACTGGGACTCCAAGAAAAGATTTTGAGATTTAAAAAAACACTAAGTTCTGGGGCCGGCCCGTGGCTCACTCGGGAGAGTGTGGTGCTGATAACACCAAGGCCGCGGGTTCGGATCCCATATATAGGGATGGCTGGTTGCTCACTTTGGTGAGCGTGGTGCTGACAACACCAATCCAAGGGTTAAGATCCCCTTACCAGTCATCTTTTAAAAACAAAACAAAAAAAAAAAAACCCCACTAAGTTCTGTTCCTTGCTCTAGAAGGGTCCCTATGTCTAACTCTCAGTGGCCTCATCTACAATACCATGATCTTGCTTTAAAAGAGCACTGTGTGGGGCCGGCCAGGTGGCACACTGCTACAGTGCGCCACTTGGGAGCATGGCGGCGCTCCCACCGAGGGTTCGGATCCCACNAAAAAAAAATTATCCCATTTGAACAACAAAGCAAAAAGAAGGAACAGAGTCTTGGACACTTGCATAATAGCATCAAAGGTCTAACAGCTGTGTTTTTAGAGTTCAAGAAAGAGAAAAGAAAGGGGCCAGGAGAAGGGAAGAATAGGGCGTTAACCATTTAACGGGCTCAGAGTTTCAGTTTTGCAAGATGAAAAATGTTCTGTGGACAGATGGCAGTGATGATTGTACAATGAGAATGTACTTAATGATACTGAGCTGGACACTTAAATAGTTAAAATGGTAAAAAATAGTAATAACAAACAACATTCAGATATTAAAAAAAAAAAAAGACAAATACCATATGATTCCACCTGTATGAGGCAGTCAAATTCATAGAAACAGAAAGTAGAATGGTGGTTGCCAGGGACAGGGGAGCAGCAAATGAGGAGTTGTTTAAGGGATACATAGTTTCAATTTTGCAAGATCAAAAAGTTCTGGACATTGGTCGCACAATAATGTGAATATATTTCACACTACAGAACTATACACTTAAAAATAGTTACGGTGGTAAATTTTATGTTATGTGTATTTTATCACAATTAAAAATAAAATGTTAGGCTGGCCTGTTGACTCAGTTGGTTACAGCGTCGTGTTATAACACCAAGGTAAGGGTTTGGATCCCCTTAACGGCCAGCTGCAAAAAAAAAAATAGTTACACACACACACAACACACCCACACACCCACACGGAAGATGTTTGTCTTCAGCAACACACACACACACACGGAAGATGTTTGTCTTCAGCAATACACACACACACACACACACGGAAGATGTTTGTCTTCAGCAATACACACACACTCACATACACACACACACACGGAAGATGTTTGTCTTCAGCAACACACACACACACACACACACATACACACGGAAGATGTTTGTCTTCAGAGCTCATTTAAANCTTTTGCCTGAAGCAAACACAATTGTCAAATGATTTTACTGACCAACTTTATAAAAGCACTTTAATTTGCGAAACACATCTTTCATCCAATTTAGTCTGAATGCTGGGAGCAGGTGATGGGATAGGTCATACAAACTGGGACTCCAAGAAAAGATTTTGAGATTTAAAAAAACACTAAGTTCTGTTCCTTGCTCTAGAAGGGTCCCTATGTCTAACTCTCAGTGGCCTCATCTACAATACCATGATCTTGCTTTAAAAGAGCACTGTGTGGGGCCGGCCAGGTGGTGCACTGCTCCAGTGCGCCGCTTGGGAGCGCGGCGGCACTCCCACTGAGGGTTCGGATCCCACATACAGACCGGTTCCCGCTCACTGGCTGAGCGAGGCACGGGAGCAACACCGAGGGTTGCGATCCTATTGCCGGTCCCGGTCCAGTACAGGCGTGACACTGAGGGTTGCGATCCGTTGCCGGACACGACAAAAAGGAAAAAAATAAAAATAAAAAATAAATAAATAAAAGAGCACTGTGTGTTAATTATGAATCCAAAACCCAACTAAATATAAACACATGGGTGCTGAGGATGGCTTTTTAAAGCTATCTTTTCATTCTGCATCACTCTCTTCCTACTTAAGATAGTCTTTACTTAGCCCAGCTGGTTAGAGTGCTGTGCTGTAACACCAAGGTCAAGGGTTCGGATCTCCATATCCACCAGCTGTCAAGCAACAAA